GGCGATGCGGCTCGCTGTGGAGCCCGATTTGCTCCACCCCGAGGTCGCCGACGCATCGGCGACGCATTGGCGTCGTCGGTGCGATCCTTCGACCCCATCTACTCGGACATGATATGGGAGGTCACTAGCGATAGTCTGACGGGACGTCCTCGCGACCGAACCAGGGCTTGGATCTCATGGCCGTGGCCATGATACTTGCCCGGGTTTCATGTTTTTTTTTCTCGGAGGGCACCAACTATACACCAACACCGATCCTGGCCAGGATCGGTGTTGGTGTATAGTTGGTGCCTTCCTATTTTCTTGTTTCAACGCGTCTTTTGTCCCCCCCCCAGTAGGGGAACAAAAACATTCAAGAGGCCCGCGCGGATGCCTTGGATCGGGGGCTGGACCTTCTCCTCGGCGCGCGCTCCGGTGCGCCAGGGGGCGGCGCGGGAGGCGCCGCAACAGGGGGGCCCGGCGACGATCCGTGGAGTCCGCGCGGCTCTCTGAGTTTTTCATGCTTATGTCATCGTTTGCTTCCTGACCCACGGGCCGCGCGCGCGCCTCTGGCCATGATCTGTGGACCCTCCTCTCGGGCGCTCGCCTCTTCGCGCTCCCGTCGCCCCACCGAGGTGGGAGATCACGTTCCACGCGCCCGTGAGAGTGCGGGCCTCCAGGGACCTCAAGGCCGAGGCGAGCCCGAGGGGGCCTGGCAGCCGCGGGAGGGCCCGTGCGGCGAGGGCAGGTGTCGCTGGGGGGACAGACGATGACACAAACATAAAAACTCGGAGGTCCGCGCGGATTCGTCGGGTCGGCGCTGGACCCCAATGATCCGAGCATAAAATCTCGGAGGTCCGCGCGGATTCCTCGGATCGTTGCTGGGCCCCCCTGGCGGCGCCGAAGGCGCCGCCCCTGGCGTGCTCCGCGCGCCAGGGAAGGGGGTCCAGCGCCGATCCGAGGACGCCGCGCGGACCTCCGAGTTTGCATGTCTGTGTCATTGCTTGTTCCCCTAGCCGAAGAAATGAAAGCATGGATTGAGGCGCGTGGATTAGCGACGTTCCCTCGTTTTTGTTCTCTGCGGCCTGCCTTGCTGGGTGATTGTGCAGAGGCAGGGGCCCCGCTAGATGCAGCACCCTTGCGCGTGATCTTGGTCATGGCGTCGCGGGGAGGCCACTGGTCGAAAGATGGACTCGCAATGGTCAGGGTGGATGCACAGAAGCGATGTGGGGTGGTGGTGATCGCAACAGCGCTCGCGCGTGGCATGCGTCCATGTCTGTGTGTGTGTGTGCTTCCTTGTGCTCTCGGTGCCTCAGGGGAGTCCGGGCTGGGAAGAGGTCGCGGGCAGTCTGAAAATTGAGCAACTGTGGCCAGCAACAGAGGAAGGGGGAAGGAGAGGAGCCGAGACGGGAGGAGAGCGAAGACGTGCGCGACGGGAGGGGCGAGCGGGTGAAGCGGGGAGTCGAAGGGGGGTAGCCACGGAAGCCAGCGCATCCTTAGCTCAGCCGTCGCCGCACAGGTCGTCTCTCTGAAGCAGCCTGGTGACGTCTTTGTGGCCGCCGCCTGCGAGGATGGAGACTGGACGCTCGGCCGGCTTCAAATCTGAAGTTCGGAAGGTCTTGACAGCGAGTTGGGGTCTGAAGTGATGGCGGTACAGTCGGGGCGCTGAAGAAGGAACCCTCTTCGTTGTGGAGGGGCTCCGTGCTCCTTGATTGTTTCGCAGCTTGCCTTAGGTTGTCCTTGGGATTTCGATGGGGAATCGAAGTTTCATATATGGAAAAAAGGGGCCTCGTTCCTTGCTTAGGGTTCCTTAGGTCAACGCCCCGACTGTAGGACGGGGACGTGGCAGGCATGCGATGATGGAGTCAGCGCTGTTCGAAAGGACGGGCGGATGATGAGTCGGAGGCACAGGCAAGCAGTGCGGTGTTGTAAGCATTACTCCATTCGCGCATCCCCTCGTGATTGTGACCATTACAGAACGAGACGCTTACAACTTTGCCGTCGCTTTCGAGGACGCTCCTTACGCCCCGCGAGCGGATAGGAAGCGTGGCGAGGCGTGTGCTGATTGGTGGTGCGGAGCGCTATTTGAAAATCCGTCTCAGAGAGCGAACGTTCGGGCCCAGCGTGGGACCGACGTGCACGTTCAGCCTGCCTGGACTGTCCGCGAAACCGGACCTGGCTGACAATGGTGGTAAGATTTTGATTTTAGCCAAGAGTGGAATCGAGTCGGCGATCGACGTTCTATCCTCGCCTCTCCCGCTGCGCACCCTCTCTGGGCAGCATGTTGGCGTGGCATGGGTCAACGTCCTGCTTTCCAGAGGCGTGTTCTTTTCATCCATGCCATTCTCCCCAGCCCCTCGGAGGGTTGGGGCAGGAACGGCTGTTTTTCAAATGTGTCCACGGTTCGGTCGGTCTGGCGGCATCACAGTCTGTTGCATTCGATCGATTCGGTTCAGTCGGGTGTGCAGTCGCTGCTGCGTCGCTGCCTCCTTCTCGGCCGCTACTACTACCCTAGTCAAAATTAACCTCGAAAACGGCGAACACGCCCCTGCGATGGCGGCGCGCCCTTCGATGTCGATAGGACGCCCCTCCAATGTCGGGGCCAGCGCAAAGGTGGTCTGACCGGGAACGACTCGGAACTTCTATGACGATCGACATTGGACAGGCGGCGCATACAAGTACCTCGCAGTCATCGCTACTCTGTCCAACATCTCCCCACAAACAGTTCAGCCACGTAAGACATTTTTGATATTAATTTTGACGAGGGTTGTAGTGTACTCGGGGGTTCGGTCGGTTTCGGTTTCGCTGCCGGTTCAGGCGGTTCTCGGTGTTGCCATTGCCGAGGGCGGCCTGGAATGGGGATTCGGTCGCTTGTCGCCAACATTGTCAGACCTATCCCCACCCCCAGTGGGCCAGGGATCCTCAACGCCACCAGCTTGCCCCCTCGAGGTGGGCACGGATGCCGCGAACCCCCACGGCCAGGGCATCTACCATCTTGAGCCACGCGCAAAGGGGGGTGGGGGTAGGGGGGGTGGCTTCTCGGAAGGAGGCTGCTTCTTAGAAGGCGCGGGTCTTGTTTGTAGATGTAAGGCCCGCGCCCTCTAAGAAGCAGCCTCCTTCTGAGAAGCTTTCCCCCCTCCCCCTTCCCCCTCAGCAGCCTCCTTCTGAGAATGCACGAAAAGAATGCAAGGGCCTTGGAAGGCCATGTCGACACTTTGCGAGAGGGGCGCGGCCAGCGAAAGCGGCCAAGGATGGGCCGAAGTGGAAGGATGCTAGGGTCACCTTGGAAAGTTGCTGATCCTTACTATGCGCGTTGACTGTACCATGCAGTACAGGCACGGCGAACAGGGAATTGGCCTGCAAAAGCAGGAGCCCCACGGAGATCCCCCGCAGGTTCAAGAACGGCCGATCAATATATGTAGGCTTGTCCAAGGGGGGTCTAGATCCCCGCTCGATTGTCCCAGGGGTTGTCTGGAGTAGGTCGTCCCGTCGTCATTGATCAGCGTGGGTTGTCCGGATTGCTCAGGGGGTTGTCTGGTTTTTTTGTTCCGGATCGGGTTCTCTTTCCATGGAGTATCGTAGATCCTCTTGCCGTCGAGATTTCTCAACGTATATAGAGATATCATGACTGCAGGCCCACCGACGCCGACGTCGAGGGAGCATCGATTGCCCCGAGGATGAGCCCTCGCACGCCCAGGGGGGGCCCGGCCGGCCGGCTGGCCCACAGGATCGAGCTCATCGGGGAGCCAGGCTTCATAGCTATCTCCGTGGTCGGTCGGCAGCTGCCCCGAGGGGAAGGGTCAAGCAGTGGCGAAGCGTCCTGGCTTGCCTATAGCCCTACCAAACAACGTTCTAAGAACTTCTGGTGGTTCCCACGAATTGTTCTTAGAACAGTTCTGGCGGAGTCTGTCTTGTTTTAGCACATCGGGTGTTTGTTCTAAGAACACTGTTTTTGTTCTTAGAACATGTTTGGGTTCTAAGAATATTTCGTGGTAGGACTATAGGAATGCCGGTACGGTCGGTCCCTGCTCAACAGGGGGGCCCAGGGTCAAGTCGGGCATGTCCGTCTACAGAAGGAAAATCCAGAAACAGTCCAGAACTAGTCCGGGGACGATAGTTCTGGTATTTTTTGCCCATGTCTGAGTAGTTTGCTTTTCCTCAAAAGTCTGCCCGTAGGAGGACACGCCCGACTTAAGCCCAGGGTCGGAGGGAGGATGGGCCCCCCCAAAAGCTGCACAGCCGGCGCCTGCTCGGCGGCCCCGGGCGTTTGCACAGCAGCGTGTCTCTGTTCGTTCCCCCCTTCACGCCGGTCGTTGAAAGTAGGGACGTTTGGATCCCCAGATGTCAATCTACTTCAGCCGCCTTTCTACTTCAAGGATCGAGTGGTTTGCTTCTTCCCTCTTCAGGGGGCGGCCGGACGCCCAATCTACTTCCACGCCTTCCTGCTTGATGCATGTACCCACTTCTTCCGACCGACGAGCAGGCTGCGTCTGCAGAACAGGTGGCCTCGCCTGCAGATGTTTTTTCTGTTTGGAGGGTGGGTTCCCTGCCCTCCACAGGAGCCGCCCAGCAGACCCTCGCCCCGTGGAGGGCAGGGGCCCCGAGGGAGAATGCGTCCTGAAGCCTTTGCCCGCCTTCGGCCCGCCGGGGCCGCTCCCGGGCTCGCCGGGGCCGTCGATCAGACAGCGGGCAGCTGTGGGCTGGGCAGCTTTGGGCCGTGACCACCTCTCTCGATGCTCGTTTTGGGGACCTTCCTGGGGCCCACCTAATGGATCTGTTCGACTCAGGTTCGACTCAAGTTCGACTCAGGTTCGACTCGGGTTCGACTCAGGTTCGACTCGGGTTCGACTCATGTTCGACGCAGCTTCGACTCAGGCTCGACGCAGCTTCGACGCACGAGTGGAGCTGGTGTTTCCAGGAAGGTCCCCAGAATGAGCATCTAAACCTCTGGACGGGGGCCTCCCAGCGACCACGGAGCCGTCTCCTTCGGGGGCTTCACCCTCGTCCAGCGCAGGGCGGGCGCGTACCAGACCGCCGGGGTGCGGGAGTGCGGGGCTCGGAGAGGCCGGCTGGCCGGCGGACCTTAGCTTTGGGGCTCGGGCAGTGGCGAGGCGTCCTGGCTTGCCTAAGAGGCCCACCAAATAATGTTCTAAGAACATGTTGTGGTCTGCACGACATGGTCTTACAGTACTTCTGGCTAAGACTGTCTTGTCTCAACACATCGGGTTTCTGTTCTAAAACATGTGTTCTAAAAACATTTCCGGGTTCTTAGAACATGCCGTGGTAGGCTTCTAGGAATTCTGGGACGGTCGGTCCCTGCTCAAGACTCCGCGCGCGAGTCGTCGGTCCTCGATCGGCCCCTCCTCGCTGCTGCGGCCGCCGCTGCAGCTGCTCGCTTCGCCGTCCTTGTGCGCTTGTTGCCTACTTGCAGCGCCCACCCTATTCTCCTCCTCCTGCTCCCTCTCGCTCCTCGCGTCCCAGCTCTTGCTCGCACACCGCCCCTCTCTGCTGATGCCGCCTCCCCATGCTCCCTGCTTCAGTCGCGGTCATGCTAACGAGGAGGATGATGGCGATGGTGCTGATGGCGACGACGAGGTGGAGGCAGGAGGTGGTGGTGAAGGAGGCTGAGAACGAGGAGGGGGGGGGGGCGGTGAGGAGGGTACACAAGGAGGGGGGGAGGATGAAGATGGATGAGGTGGAGGAGGACGAGGAGCAGGAGGGGTAGGATGAGCAGGATGACCATGAGGAGCACGTCGAGTTTTGTGTTTCCTCCCAGCCCGATCGAGGGGGCACTCCCCTTGCAAGACAGGCGCCCCCCTAGCTTGGCTGCACCAGGCCCCTCCGCTCGCCTGCAGGTGCGAAGACCTCGGACTCTCCGCCATCTTCAGCGAGCAGGTCTGCATGCACGCGCGGAACTGGCTGGCCGAGCAGGGGCACCCCGGGCGCGCCGCCCTGATGACCGAGAAGGGCTGCTACCTGAGGGCGCGCCCCCACCTGCCTCCGGCTTCGGTGGGTGGGACGCGCGTCGCAGGTGCGCGCCGCGTCGGCACGGCGGCGACGTCGGCGCAGTCGTTCCAGGTACGCCGCTGGGTCACGCGCTGCTAGAAGCCATCGCCGACGTCGCCGCGACCTGGAGCGGTTGCACCCTGGTCGAATCGATCGACGCCATTTGTGTTTCAGGCAAATCCGCAGGTCCCCAGGCTTCGAATCCAACGAATTCCGTGGGCTGCGGGGTATGGGCTTCTTATGGAGGTTCCTCGTGGCCGGAGTCGCATTGTATGTCGCGTCACCGCTTGCACGCCAGCGTGTCGTGGAGTACTCGGGCGATGTTTTGGGAGTCCAGGGCATGGTGGTGGTCAGATGGACATGGGAAGGCACCGCGACTCATGGCAGGACCTCCACTGCTGTTCAACAACGCTACGAAAAAGAAGGGGAGGAGGATGACACGAAGAGGAGCGGGAGTCCGTGAGTGCAGTTGCCCACCAGAATTTAACATCACATCTTCACAGTCTCTGTGACGCGGGGCCCTGTCTCATGGAGGTCCATGACTCGGGCGGGCGAGTAATGGTAACACCGGCGGGAACTCTGCGAGCATCCTCGCTCGACACCGTTGTTGTTTGTTTGTGACATGCTTAACGTAGAGTTGTTTTGTTCAGGATCTTGACTTGTGCGCCGAGGGCGCGCGCGCATCTGGCCCGCATGTCCCCATTGGACATATCTGGCAGGACGCCCGCATCTTGGCTGGATGCGAATCGCAATTGCGCGCGCAGAGCACACGAGATGCTGTCTGCTTGATTCTGAAGAGCTCCCTCTTGAGCTGCTTGGTCTGCCAGTGTTTTTTTTTTGTTTATGCGATTGCGCGGGACCCGCGCGTGCGGCCCGCATATGGAGCTGGGGGACACGGACTCTGCTGAAGTGCGCTCGTTGTGTCACCGCGTGTGCACCGCATGGTATCATTTGACAGGGACGACGAGGGGAGTCGAAGCAGGTTTTAAGTCGGGCATGTCCCTCTACAGGACGAATATGCAAAAATAGTCCACAAATAGTCTGTGGAATGTAATTGCATGTTTGAGCATTTTTCGACTATTCTTTACTTTTTCGTCCAAGATCCGCCTGTAGGGAGACATGCCCGACCTAAAACAAGTTTGGCTGGCACGGTGCGACTTCCTGTGAGAAGACTCTGGCAACAGAAGCACTGCGCGGAATGGTGCCACGGAGTCCGGCCTCGGCACGGGGGGTATATGTTCAGATCGTCTCTTCGGTTCCGAGGCTTTGCCTCCTCCCGGCCTCGTTCTGAGGCTGCGCCCCCTTCTCCTTCTTCTCTGCGTAATTCAAGCTCTGCGCGGCCCGCTCAGCTTCGACCGGGAAGAGGTGCGCCCTCGACCCGCGAATCGGAAGAAATGTTCAGATCGTCTCTGCGAGAAGGGCACGGCGTGCAGTGCAGGCCACAGCTTGCAACCCACGGGGCCCAAGCTGCGTGGCGAGAGCCAGGTGTGCAGCCCGCGGCGCGGCCCCCCACGGCGCAGAGCCCGACGGGGCTCGCCGGCGCACGGGGCGGCCACGAGGCGGCCACTGCACTTAGGGGAACACAAAGTGGCATGAGCACAAAAGCTCGGAGGTCCGCGCGGATTTCTCGGGTCGGCGCGGGGGCCCCCCGGCGGCGCCTCCGGCGCCGCCCCTGGCGGCGCCTCCGCGCGCCAGGGAGGGGGGGGTCCAGCGCGCCGATCCGAGAAGTCCGCGCAGAGCTCCGAGTTTTTACGTGTGTGTCATTGTTCGTTCCCCTACTGCAAGGCACCGGGCGAGAAGCGGAAGCGCAGGCCGCGTCTTCTGACAAGGGAGGTCCCCTCGGTGCAGGAGGTGTTTTTGGGGGGAATGCGGGGGGGGGGCCCGAGAAGGGGCTTGAGGAAACTCCACTCGTTGGCTTTTGTGCAGGGGCGGCCATAGGAGGCCCCCTTTCGGAATACGAGTGGCGAGAGCCCCTACCCCCATCCTTTTATTATACGAACTGCGAAGAAGTATGATCCTTAGTTCAAGGATCTGTCCAGCGATGTCACTCTTATTGGCTCCATCTTTGTAAATTGCGCAAGTCGACTTGATGGCTATCATGCCAAAGAAGTCTCAAGCGAGATCCAGCTTCTAAAAAGGAACCCCATCCGTTCGTATAAGTGTTGCGCAGTTCTGGAAGAGCCACGCTTTGACACCATTTGACCCCATCCGCGCATCTGTTGGACATTTTTTGTTCGTCGAGTGTGCATGGCTCGATGGCGAGAACCACAGGTTGAAAACCATTCGACCTCCAATCGTGTAACTGTTGGAACCTGGTTTCTGGCGAGTGTTTTGGCGCCACGGCGACAGTTGTGTTTTGAAAGCGTTGCGCCCGCCTGCCCTGCTTATCCTCGGAGGTCTTTCAGGCCAACGTGCGCGGCGCTAATGCGAGAGCTACATATTTGATCCTCCTCCTCCTCCCTTCCTCCTCCCTCCTTCCTCATCCCTCCTTCCTCCTCTCTTCTCCTCCTCCTCCTCCTCCTCATCCTCCTCCTCCTCCGCTCACCCTCCATCGGAGTATTGTTTTGGATCGTTTCAAGCTTCAGAGTCGTAGGCAGTGAACGGCTGCGAGCGAGGGGGGTAAAGTGAGAGCGATGAGGCCCTCTCAGAGGGCGGCGGGGCGTCTCGGAAGCCCTTGCGCCTCCCGCGACGTTCTCTGCGTCTTCGGGAAGGCTCAGAACACTTTGCAGAAGGCGCGGGGACTGCCGAGCCTCCTGCCCCCTCGCTCGCCGCCGAGTCAGAGGCGTGGGCGGTGAAAAAAGTCTCGGGCGCGACGCCCGGCCCGCCCTGCCGACACGTCCGGTGGTGCGGCGAGGTGCGGAAAACAAGAAGGTGGATCCAGGAGGAGGAGGAGCGCGAGAAGCAGACGACAACGGCCCGCTCGATCTCGAGCGGCCGCGCCTGGTGGAAATCAGGAGGAGCAAACGAGGCAGGAGGAGCAGGAGGGGCTTTGAGAATGAGGATAGGTACCGGAAGGGATGGAGACGTGCGAGGGGGAGGAGGAGGAGGAGGAACAGGAGGAACAAGGGATGAAGCAGGAAGAGGTCTGAAGAGGAGGGGGTCATGAGGAAGACGGAGAGAGCGATGGCGAGAACAGAGTCTAGGGAGTCCTTTCCAGGGAGGAGGAACGTGAGCACAACAACAGCGAGGTCGAACAATCCTGATCCTCGAACCCCGCACGTCGACCCCGATCCCTCCTCCCTTCTCTCCGACGCCCGCTGAACGTCGGCGCCTGGACCCCTCCTTGGGTCTGCCCCACCCGATTTTTTTGAGCCGCGCACCGGCCGTGGCATTAAGTCGGGCCTGTCCCTCTACAGGAGGAGCATTTAACAATAGTCACACAGTCTTGGGACGACTTTTTGAATAGTATGTTTGGCTAGATGGGTGTATCCTTTTACTATTTTTAATTGTCCGTCCAAAATCTTGCTTCCTCCGTAGGGAGACATGCCCGACCTCACCGTGGCAACAGAAACCTCTGGGAGCTCCAGCAGAAACCTTCCGAAACGACCATGTCGCCGCCGCCGTCGCCGCTCCTTGTGCGGCGGAGCTCCAGGCCTCCCACAAGATGGTGCGGAGCTCGATCTAAACGACGTGTTGGCGATTTCATTGGCCGTTGTCGTTTTGGGATTCGTTTTGCAGCAGAGGCGGAACGTAGCCCAAATCGGGGAAAACGAGACCCAGCAAAAACCAGCAACCGTCTTTCAGGTCGAGCCCCGAGATGGGGGTCCGAGCAGATGGGGTCGGAGGGTCGCGCCGCATCGCCGAAGCATCGGCGATGCGGCTTGAAGTGGGGCCCGAGTTTCTCTACGCCGACGTCGCCGATGCATCGCCGATGCGCGGTGATCCTCCGACCCTGCTCGGACCCCACCTGGAAGGCCTCCAAGACCGAGGAGCCGCATGGACCGTGCGCCAGAGGAGGAAAAGGTACACGTGCCGCTACCCTTCCTTCGCTTCTCCCTTCTAGGGCCTCCTGGGAGGCCCTCGCCGCCACCGCTGGGTTCGCCTCGAACTTTGGTCAGAACGCTCCCCGGGAGAGGTCTGGGGAGTACAGTCGGGCCGCTGAAGAAGGAGCCTCGTTTTTCCGTTGGGGAGGAGCTCAGTGCTCCTTCGTTGTTTTACAGCTTTCTATCGGAAATCGAAGTTTAACGTATGAAAAAAATGCCTCGTTCATTATTGTGGGCTACTCATGGCAGCTTTCGATTAGCGGTATCGGTACCTTTTGCTCCCCGGTGCGTCCCCCGCAGGCGCCCGAGAGCTTCGGCTCGGCGCCCGTCCACGACCACCGCTGTGCGGACGGCTGGGACCACCTGCTGGGGCAGGCAGCCCTCCTCCTCCTCCTCCTCCTCCTCCTCCTCCTCCTCCTCCTCCGGGGGGGAAGAGAGAAGGGGCGGGCCTTCTCAGAAGGTTTGGACGTCCCCCAGCCTTTGAGAAGTCTTCTGAGCCTTCCCCGAAGGCACATCGAACTTCTCAGAAGGCGCGAGGGCTTCTGAGAAGTCCCGCCGCCTTCTCAGAAGGCCTTCTCCTCCTCGCTCCCCCCCCCCGCTCGCCGCCGACTCGGGCTCCTCTTGGGTGTGGGGAGGGCTTGCGGGCCCCGGGATCCTGGCGTCTGGGGTGTTTCGAGCCGGGCGTTTCTGGCCCGGCATCGAGTCCTGGGACCGTCACATGTTGACCAGACGTAAGAGTTAAGTCGGGCAAGACCCTCTACAATCGGAGTGTTCAAGAATAGCACAAATAATAACATGGGGACGATTTTTTGTTTTTTTGTTGCGATTATTTTGTGAATATTTTGAAATATTCTTCCAAACTCCGCCTGTAGGAGGGCATGCCCGACATAACATATGAGTGACCTTTTGGAGTGACCTTTTGCTGGGGTGACCTTTGATCCGGGCCCAATGGGGTACCCCGATCGCCGAACGCGATGCGACAGTAGCGTCTTGCGCGCTTGTGTGTTGGTCCCCCCACGGCCCCCCCAAAGGTCACGCGTGTAGTCGAACAGATGGATCCGGTTAGAAAAATGATGCAAAATGGTTGGGTCTAGGGCTCTGGCCGTGGTATTTCGGGGGTGTTTCAAAACTTTCGCGACGTCGGGTCTCACAGGCGTGTACAGTCCAAGGGCATGAGGCCCCTCGGATCACCGCGAGAGTTGGGCGCAGCTCGGCTTCGAGCAGCCCCCGCTGCCCCCGCTGCTCCCACCAAAGGGCACGATCCATCCGTCTTGCGAATTCTACGTCCACTCGCAGGCCCCGGGAGGGGGGAAGAGAACGAGGAGGGGGGGACAGGTGGAGGATGGGATATTTTTTGTTGTCAAGAACAGGGGTGGGGAGGTTGGGGTCTATACTGGGGGGCCATCGTCCCCGCGGCCGGGTCCGCCCCGAGATCCTGGCCGGAGCGCATTCCACGACGGACCTTCGGTGGAGGGGAGGTCACGAAGACTGCTGCTGCACGCAGGTCGTGTGGGGCCTGGCGCGCCTCGAGGGCCAGGGAGTGGTGGTGGGGCCGTGCCGTCTGGCCACAGCGGTGAGCTGCAGGTCGCCCTGCAGCTCCAGCATTCTGACGTCCCCACCGCCGTCAGATGTTTCGTTTTTGGTTGAGGGAAGGGTGCTTTTGGGTCCTCCAAGGTGCTGCATCTGCATAGGATGTTCATTTAAAAAGAGGGTTGGCGGGGTCTGGCGCAAGCGCAGACACCACGCAGACCCCGTTCGGCACGATGGAGACGGAGACACGACGACCAGCGGTTGTTTTTTCTGTCAGGACTCGCTGTCTGTGACACGAGTCTCACAGCGGCCGCTGTCGGTTTTGGAGCACACTTGTTGTGGGGCATCGTACCCAGCGTTTTCATCTCCATTTCGGGCGTGCCAGACCGCCCTCAGATGCAATCTCCCGTGTGCCAGCACGAGTGTGTATCCTCTTCCTTGCCTGACGTCTGTGGCCATTCGAGCTCAGGCGCTCGGCTGCCTCATGCGAGCGGCTCGCCGCGCCGCGGCGGACACGAGGAGGGTGCTCGCCCCTGGCGCCTGCCATGCCATGGCGCGTGGGGACGGCGGGCGGCGCCAGGACGGCCGACCGAGGAGGAAGGGCGAGGGCGAACGGCAGAGCCCCCTGCAAGCGCGGTCCCCCTGCGCGCTCATCGGGGCCCTGGAGCGGTCGGTCATGGACGAGGGCCGCCCCTCCTGGAGTTGGGCGCAGTCGCGGGCGGCGGCGGCGGGGCTCCACGCGATACTCGGGGCCGGGGCTCCCGCCCAGCGTCGTTGCCCCCCCCCCCGCCCCCCCCCGCTGCCGCGCGCGCTGCGCAGCGGCTCGTGGAGGCCCGCGAGGACGGGCGGGCCTCGCTGGGTGGCGCGATCGAGGTATACGGCGACAGCGTCGCCATCTCTTCGGCGGATTCGGCGCCCGAGAATAGGTGGACAGGAGGTTCGGGGCCAGACTGCGGACGATCTCCCGACCGCGGAGCAGCGGCGAGCCCCCGCGGAATAGCTCGCGACCTGGAGGCAGCTCAAGCTCTCGGTGCACGAACATGCGCCCGCCGTGATGGAAGTTGCCCCGTCCCCACGTGCCCGGCGCAGGGGGCCAGGCGCGGGGCGGCCTCGGGGCGGGCGGGGCCAGCCTCCGCGACTCGCGCCGCGGGTCTTTGCGAGGCGGGGGCGGCTGGGGGGGCAGCATGGAGCTCGGAGACGGTCGAACGTGGCGCCATTCATGGGGGCGAGCGAGCGGCGGGTTGGAGCGCCCGTTTCCCGCGGCCACGGCCCGCGCCCGGGAGAGGCCGCCTTCGGGGCCAGACGATTGGGAGGCGCCGCTGGGCGGCAGCGCGCAGGCAGTTGAGAAGGGGAGCCCACGCTGGGCGCGGGCGTGTCAGGCGGCCCGAACGGGGTCTTCGCGGCGCTGGGGCCCCTCGGCGCGCGCCGCGGCAAAATTCTTCGAATTCCGTCCCCGAGGCCTGGGGGCTTACGCCTGAGGGCGATCTCCTGGGCGGCGGGGCCGACGGACAAACGGGCGCGGCATCCAGGGCCGATCCGAACGAGCGGCCATTGGCGGCGTTCCGCGCCGAGCTTTCGGGGGGCCAGGGTCCACTCGACTCGAGATTGCGTTGGCCTGGAATGGCCGCCGCGCGAGGGGGGCCGGGGGGCGGGCGACCCTGGCGACGTGGAGACGACGGATTCCGACGCGTCTCGTGGGTTCTGGCGTCCACGTGCCGGCCGCGGTTTTGAAGGGGCGCGTGCTCGTTGAGACGACGCTGACCGCCGAAGAGCATCGCGAGTCGGGCGCCGTGGAGGGGGCGGCGGCTCCGCGGCGACAGCCCCGCTCAGCGCGCCGCTGGCGAGCTCGCGCGGGCGGGGCTGGAGCGGCGGCAGCAGCGCGCTTCGGCGGGAGAGGGCGCCGGCGAGGAGACGGCGGCCCGCATGCGGCACGGGAAGCGGCGCCCGCCGCGCGCCGCGGCGCAGCTGCAGCGCGCCGGCCCCTTCGCGCGCGCGAGCGGCGCGCGGCGGTGGCGGCGTCGGGAAAGGGGAGGAGCAGGGGCGAGGTGCGACGGCGGTCGGGGCGGGGCCCCGCCGCCCCCCTCTCGCACCCGGGTCTCCTGCGCCCCCCATTTCGTTTTTGTCGGGTGCCCCGCGCCCATCGCAAAGGGGGAGGGGGGGGGCGCCAAGTTCTCGGGGGCGGCAGGTGCCCTGCGCGCAGGGCCCTGGCACGGCCGCCGGTCACAGCGGCGTCGCCGTCGCCCCGTTCGCCCCCTCGTGCCGCTATCGCACCGTCATTGCAAGGGTCATCGATGATGCGCTCCCGCGTGCCAACGCGAACGCGCGCCCTCAATCCAGTTCTTGAAAGTGGCGGGTGCCCGGCGTTCAGGGCCCCCGGCGCCGCCGCCGGTCACGGCGGCGTCGCCGTCGCACCGTTCGCCCCCTTTTACCGCTATCGCACCGCTATATAGCGGTTTTTCATTTCTCTTCGGGGCTCATCGAGGACGCGTGTTGTTCTTTACTTTTCGTTTGCCCAGACCCTCTGCAGCCCCCCCTGTCGCGCGGCGCCGGCTGCCCGCGCGCGCCGTTCTTCGCCGGGCCGACGCTCGGCCCGGGAGCGATGTGCGCGGATGGCGGACGGGCCCAAGTGTTCGGCTTGCTCAGTCGCCGCTTTGCCCCCCCATCATTGCGTCTCTTTCCTCGCCTCCCCGCCGGGGGGGGGGGGCGTCGGCCCCCCGGGCCAGGGCAATAGCTATTGGGGACATTAGCAAGTCGGAGAAGCGACGCGCTCTCCAGCGCAGTCGCATTTTGGTCGCCCAGTGAATTTGTTTTTCCTGCGCTTGGTCTTTTCTGCCGCTGCGCTGCAGCATTTTGGTCTTTGTCCGGGTCGAGAGAAGGGGCTCGTAGCTTTTCCAGACCTTAGTCTGGGTTTTTTGTTTTTAGAGTCTAGGAATATTGCGGCCAATCCGTTCTTTTCCCCCGCGCGGCTCGTTCGCGTCGCCGTCGGGAAATCTGTTTCGCGGCGCGTTGGGCACGCCGGTCCCGCGCGCCCCGGTTTAGCGGGCCCTGCGCGCCATGTTGGGCGAGGCGCCAGGGAGTGAAGACGGGGGGGTGCGCGCTGCCGCCAAAGGCCATGGCTTTGGCGGAGCCGCGCGCGGATTTGTTCTGCCGGTGGCTGCGCGCTGCCCCCCCGCCCGATTCGACCTTAAGGGTCAGCGATATTCAGTGTCCAGCGCGGCTGATGGGTTTGATTCAGAACAGGGAAAGCACCTACTCACTCACTGTTTTATTAGCTTTGCGCCGGTCGGGGGCGTCGTTGAGAGGGTGCCTGGCACGGGTGCGGGGGTCGGGGTGGCGTCGGCGTTTGGGGCTGGCGACTTGCGCCGCAAGTGCGCTTAGCTGGCCGCATTTGTTTAGTGCGCGTGACGGGTGGAAAGGCCGCTGGCTAGCAATTGGCAGCCTGCTGCCCGCGCGCCAGAACATATCGCCGCGCGCTCGCAACGGGGCGCGGGAAAATGGGGGTCGGGAAGAGAGATCTCGAGTCTCCTTCCCAAGGACCACCTCGATAGGCAGCAAGCAATTTTCTTTCTGTTCACATGCCGCACGGCCAACCGAACGAACGAACAATTGTCTCGGAGCGCCGTGTTAGCTTCGCCCGCGCGCATCCTGGCTTCCTTCCGTTGCTTCCTTTGCTTCTTTCTCGCCCTCCTCTTCTTTTTCTTTTTCCCCTTGCTCTGCCTTGCCCTGCCCCCCTTCCTCTTCAGCTCGGAGCTGTCGCCGCGCGCGAAAAGCGCAGCCCAGAGGGCGTTGCTGCAATTCCTGCGTGCGCCACGAAGTCTCGCGCAATTCCTCTGCGCGCGGTCTGG